CCTCCCCTGCCACTGCTGCCCTTAGTCGCCTCATGCTGCCGTACCTGTTCCCTGACCTCGCCGCGTTTGCCACAGTCGCTGACCTCATTACGCACCTCCGCACTAGTGACACCCGCTACCGCGCTGCGCTTCCTGCTGAGTTCTGCGCCAAGACCCCCCCCCCCTATGTACATCACCCTCTACTACCTAGTCACCCGACTCCCTGACTCCCTTCGCTCGGTCAGGGACCACTTCCTCTCTGTCTGCCCCACCACACTCACCGTTGACCTCCTCGAGGAGCGCCTCCTTGCAGCTGAGAAGAGTATAGTCGCTATAGGAGCCTCTCGTGGTGACCCTCGTGCCCCTTTCTTTGAGGGGTGTTCCCCCGTCCCCCTCTTGCCCTCTGTTGCCTCTGCTGCTGCTGTCGACCTCGTTGGCACCGAGTCGGTCGGCGCGACGTCTGCCCCTAGCGGGAGGCGCCGCAACGGCAAGGGCAAGGGGGGCAAGGGTGCTGGGGGAGTGGGCGGGGGCGGTGGTGGTGGCGGTGGGGGCGGCGGAGGGGGTGGGGGTGGCGGTGGGAGTGGTGGCGGGGGTGGGGGCTCTAGTGGCGGCGGCGGAGGCGGCGACGGCGGTGGCGGTGGGAGTGGAGGAGGCGGCGGTGGCAGCGGTGGCGGTGGCGCTGGTCGGGGTGGCTCTGTGCAGAGGGGAGGCTTCGGTGATGGCCAGCGTTCGTAGCAGCAGCGCTCTCGTGAGACCCCGCCGCCCCAGCAGCTTCGTGAGTGGTACGCTGCGCGTCAGCGGTCTGGGGGTGCTGGTCCCTGTGCCTACGTCCTGCGTACTGGTGTGCTTTGGCCGCCTGACTGACGCCTGGCGTCTCCAGTTCCCTGATGCCTCTGAGATCCCTCGCTGGGGTGATTTGCTCAAGTCGGGTGTAGCTATCTTTGATCTTGACTATGATGCTATTCTTGCTGCGATGTATGTTGTGTCTTCTAGTGAGGAGGGTGACTGTTACCTGTGTGTTCCGCCTGACCCGGGCATTGCAGCTGCTGCTCTAGGTGCTCGCGAGTCTGCTGCTCCAGGTACTAGTGAGTCTGTTGCTCCAGGTACTGGTGAGTCTGCTCTCTCAGGTACCACGTCTGGTCAGGCTTTGCACACCTTCACCCTTGACTCGGGTGCTTCTCGCTCCTTCTTTCGAGACCGCGACACCCTCACGCCGCTCAGTCGGCCGGTTGCGGTCTCCCTGGCAGACCCCTCTGGGGGTCCTGTCCTTGCCCACTTCTCCACTGTACTACCGTGTCTGGCTCCCTGTCAGGTCTTTACCTCCCCTCGTTCTCTACGAACTTGGTGAGTGGTGCTGACCTGCAGGATGGGGGAGTTGACCAGTTCACTCCTGCGAGTCAGCAGGTGACCTACTGCACGTGTGCTCGGGCTGTCAGCGGGTGACCCACTTTCACACAGTGCTGTCCCATCCTCTAGTCGCGCGTCAATCTCTAGCAAACACCTGTCCAATGTAACTATGATTTTTTTAACCGTTGACAAGTTGGTGAGGCTGTGACTAGCCTCGTCGTCAACTAACACTTTTATTTTTTTTCCCTTTACCCTCCCTACCACCAGCACCAGGTGATCCACGCGTTCATCCACCTTATTCCTCCGATTGTAGTAAATATCCCATATTGGTACCACAACTCGGTGTGGATAGCGTTTGTCGGGCGAGATGGTCTCGTGAGTATGGCGCCCGCTTGATACTGACTCCTCTCTTTTCCTGACCCTTTTCTGTCGTTCTTCTTCCCATGTTTAATCTTTGGGTAGTCTTTCTCCAGGTGGCCCAGCTAGTTGCATAAAAAGCACGGCCCTAAGGCTCAGCTCGGAGCATCCATGCTGTTGATCATGGGCTGCTGAGTCAATCCACAAAATCGAGTGCCCTCCTAGGAACTGACTCTCGCCCACTATACGAGTGCGTCCGTTGATCCTGTCGAAAGTTAAGTAAGAAGTTTAGAAGCAGAAAAAAGGGGATGCACTAGCAAGCAGTTGAGTACATATAGGAAACTCTAGATTGGGCTGTACTCGTTATAGAGTACCCCACTGCAGGCTAGACAAATACAACATTCTAACACACCCCCATAGCCAAAGTGGGGTGTAATCAGCAGAGCACGCAGTCATAGAGCAGGTTCACAATTGCAAGCAAAGCTAGAGGCTATCACAGAGGGCAAGTGAGGAGGAGGAGAGACTGTGGGGGCGAGAAGATGGGAGGCGACTGCTGAAGCTGCAGACACACAGGAGCTGCTGGCTCAGTGGCTACCGAAGCAAGGGCCCGGACTACAGGAGTAACTGGCTCCGCGGAGATTGTAGCCTCCTGACTGGAGCAACTGACCCACAGGCGACTGGCGACTACCGGAGATTGTAGCCTCCGGACTACTGGCGCTGCTGACGACACGACGGCTGCCTCCACTCAACCTCCCCCAGCTGCCCCACGCCCCTATCACACACCCCCTGCTGCACCCCTAGCTCCACTCCCACGACACCCCCCTAGCACCACTCCTTCGGCTCCCACACACCCACCCCCCTGAGCGGCAGCTGCAGCAGCGGGAGACGGAGGAGGAGGAGGAGGAGTAGGGGACGGCGCACACAACCGGCACCCCCACAACCGCCACCCCCACACTCCCCACCCCCAAACCCTAAAACGGGTGGCAGGGGGTAGGAGTGCGGGGGACGGCTAGGGGGACGGCGCGCGGCCCCCAGGGCGCCACCACGGGGCAGCGAGGGGCCGCGCGCGGCTCCCCAGGGCGCCGCGGCGAGGTAGCGGGGGGTCGCGCGCAGCTCCCCAGAGCGCCGCGACGTGACGGCAGGGGCCGCGCGCGCCTTGCCCGGGCGCCGCGACAAACGGGCGGGGGGCGCGCGCGGCTCCCGAGGGTGCCGCGACGAAATAGCGGGGGCGGCGCGCCAGGAAGGAAAGGGGCCGCGCGCCCCGGGGCGCGCGCCAGAGACGCGGCGGGATGAAAAATAGGTCGCACGCCACGGGGCGTGCGACAGATCAAGTAGCAGCGGAAGCAGGTTGGTGGGCCCATAGGCCAAGGAAGGACAGGCTCTGATAGCATGTCAAAAGTTAAGTAAGAAGTTTAGAAGCAGAAAAAAGGGGATGCACTAGCAAGCAGTTGAGTACATATAGGAAACCCTAGATTGGGCTGTACTCGCTATAGAGTACCCCACTGGAGGCTATACAAATACAACATTCTGACAGATCCAGCCAGCTAGACGGCATCTATGAGAGTACGCCATCCGTTTTTACCTGAACTTGCTTGTTTATATCTTCTACTTCCACTTCTGTGCTTATTTCCTATTCTTATATTATAGCACCGTTTAGGATTGTGTGCACCAAATTCAGCCTCATTTAGGTGATTCCCGCTTGACTTTGCTTGCGCCTGATTCACGCCGAATTGCATTTACCGAATTCGGGAAGGTTTCGTTCCCGACGGTTCCCAGGGCTCGGTAATTTCTAGTCTTATCAAGGTTACGTGCCTTGTTTTGTGCCTATATATAGCCACGACGTTTGAGCACGAGTTTTTGCTAGCCGCTTCGCCCCATCTCTGTACCACGCTACTAGCCCCTGAGGGAGAACCCAACGCCCTTAACATACCAACTCCTCGCACGTACCGTGAGGCAGTGTCAGGGCCATGGGCCTCTCTGTGGATAGCGGCCATGGACTTGGAGATGGCGTCTTGGAGATCCACAGGCACTTACGTCGACGCAATTTCCCCGCCTTGGGGCAAACGTAGTTGATGGCATGTGGATCTTCAAGGTACAGTGGCCGCTTGGATCACCGCCGGACTTCAAGGCGCGCTACTTGGCTAGAGACTTCAGTCAGCGTGAGGGTGCTGACTTCTTTCATAACTGCCCTGACCCCGAAGATGACCACTCTTTGGGTGTTACTTCATGTTGCAGCACAGCGAGACTACGAGCTGAACTCACTGGAATTCTCCACTGCCATTCTCCAAGGCCGCCTGCACAAGGATATCTGGCTGCGCCGTCCTCCTGGCTTCACTTGCGCTTTCCCGCCAGGGACCCAGTAGAGCCTAAGATGACCAGTCTACGGTCTCTGCCAAGCGCTTCGTGAGTGGCACGACACTCTTCGCTCCACTCTTGCTCACCCTGGTTTTAGACCTTCTTCTGCCGACCCATCGTTGTTCGTTCGTACTGGGCCCACACGTTTTTTCGTCCTCGTCTACGTTGATGACTTGGACTTCGGTACAGCAGACATGGTTGCTCTAACTTTTGAAAGTCCCAACTACAGAAGAGACACACGTGCATTGACCTTGGTGAACTGCGCCGCTACCTTGGCTTGCAGATCACCAGGGACAGAGCCGCTCGCACCATCACTCTAACCTAGTCACACATGGTGCAGCAGGTCCTTTAGCGGTTCGGGTTTCAGTTCTCCACCACACATCCCATTCCTCTTGCCGTTGACCACATGCTCACCGTTCCTGTTCTTGACAAGCCCTTTGAGTCTAGTGGCCCCTACGCAAATCTAGTTGTTTGCCTTATACTCGTCCGGACCTTGCTTTTCCTCCCAGCATCCTGGTTTGCTTTGTTGCGGCTGGGAGACACCGTCATGTTCAATGGGTTGACCTTCTTGCTCACCGGCCTTGGTGAGTGGCCAGGTTCTGCACCGACCTTGTTCGTTGACAACAAGGCCATGATCCTCCTATGTCAAAAGCTTTGACTGGAGAGGAGAGTGAAGCAGATCAATCTGAGGTGCTTTCTACTGCGAGAGGTGAAGATGGTCACCAGGCGTAAGACTCCAAGACTTGCCTATTAGGCATGCACATAAGTCTTGAACATATTCACAAATTATGTTTTCTCTTTGATGTGCATATAACTGTTAGTAGTATTTCCTAGTAGTGTCAGTATTTTAGCACTGCACAACCTTGTACATTATTACGAGCTTTTTTCGGCTGGTGGCAAATTGTTGTTTCTATTCAGTACCCCTTGGACATGAGGATTCACACGTGTAGCTGATGCCCAAAATGCATTGTTCGTTCCTAAGCATGAGATTTCTTCTCGACCTGCTGTTTTCCGGCTGGTACCGTACTTCAGGTATCACGGCTGAGATCCACGCCCCAAAGAAGCACCGATGAAGAGTGGGACCCACCAAAATCTGGCAGCCTGTATTCCTGGGGTGGAGGCCCTTTCTTTGTTGTCTCACCCACTCCAGCTTCTGCTTTTGTTCCCGCTGCTCCTGCTGCTGAATCTGCTACTCCACTTGCAGATGCTCCTGCAGCTGGACTTGCCACTTCTACTGCTGCTGCTTCTGTGTTCTTCCAATCTTCTCCTGCTGCTCCTGCTGCTCTTGCTGCTCCTGCAGGTGCTGCTGCTGGTAACCCTGTAAGTTGGCCGCTGGCGCCAGCAACAGAAGCCTCAGACATAAGCGGCCCTACAGAACGACCCCCCCATTGGTTCTCCTCAGGCAACCTCGCTGGTACTTCATCTGTACTCGTTATAAGCACATCCCGCACCGGTTCTTGCTTCACAGTGAAATCAGGAGGGCGATGAGGGAGAAAGGGAGGCCAATGGACCGGCGTGAAGATATGTGAAGGGGAATTGTAATTAGGAGGTGGAGGAGGATGAGGAAGAGGGGGAGGAAGAGTTGGTGTGGGCTGGGAATGCGGAGGCTCTAGCAAAGGAGAGCTCGTGCTGCTGGGAATGTGGGTGGCTGCAGGGATGTTGGGGGCAGGTGGGATGTCAGACAGTGGAGGTACGTCAGAGGGAGGAGGCACGGTGTAGTGGGGGGGCATGTTGGAGGGGAGAGGCTCGCTGGGAGGAGGACTGAGTCGACCGTATGAGGAGTGTTGGAAAGGGGAGAACTGGAGCAAGGGGGTTGAATGGCGGAGGAGCGAGGCAGGCTGACGAGGGTGATGCGCTGGAAAGAGCTCAAGTCCGGCGAGCCTGATGGGTGGAGCCGATAACTCTTTGCACTCTCATCCTCGGGGGAATGTGACGGCTGGTTGCGGTAACTCCTTGCACTCTCACTTTCAGGGGAGCGTGATGGCTGGTGCTGCCAGTAACACTCGCTACTGTTAGGGGAAATTGACAGTTGGTGCTGCCAGTGGTAACCCCTGGCACTATCAGGGGATAAGAGTGGCTTTGGGTTAATCTGACCCCTCCTGCGCTCCACGACTGGGGGTGGGGCCAACAATGTTTGCTGCTGGAGGAACCTTTCAATGCCCCTTGGGCTTTCCCCTGAGATTTCCTGCTCCTGCTTCTCTGCAGCAGCAGCAGCACCACCACCACCAGCACCGGTAGGGCCTGTGGATTGAGGCACGGAGGAGAGTGGCGCCTGTGCCAGGTGCTTCTGGACTCTTCCAATGCCCCTTGGGCTCTCCCCTGAAGCCTCTCGCTCCTGCTGCTGCCTCTTGGGCCCGTCACGAGTGCCAGCACCGATGGGTTGAGTGGATTGAGGCAAGGGGGAGAGTGGCGCCTGTGCCTGGCGCTGCTGGCTTGCTCTACTCTCTCCCAGCCCTGCTCCTGCCACCACCTGCCACTCTTTCTCTGCAGCAGCAACAGCACGAGTGCCAGCAGCAGCGGGGTGCGCAGATATAAGTAAAGGGGACAGCAGTGAAGACGCCGGGTACTGCTGGCTTGGTCCACACACACCTAGGATTTCCCCTGCCACCGACCCCTCCTGCTTCACTGTAGCAGCACGAGCACCAGGAATAGGCACTGTGGAAAGCACGAGCCCCAAGGGGACCACACCCAGCCAGTCCTGTCTTTGGGGCGCCTCAAGAACAAGCTGCTGCTTCTCCCCATGAGCACTGGGAATAGGCCCTGCGGCAAGAACGAGCCCCAAGGGAACCGCACCCAGCCGGTCCTGCATTTGGGGCGCCTAAAAAGCAAGCTGCTGCGTCTCCACACTAGCACGAGCACCGGGAATAGACTCTGTGCCACAGAGCCCCAAAGGATCGGCACCCAACCGCTCCCCCACCATGCCTGCAGTGTCCCTGAGGCGTTTCCGGGGGGATGGGACCTGCTGCTGCCATCTGTGAGAGGCGCTGTGTGTGCCAACTGCAGCGCCAACTGCAGCACCCGATTGCATAGCACTAGCATGCATGTCTCCTGCCCCTAGAACACCAGCTCCCAAGGATCCAATCCGCCAACCTCCACCACCAAAAGCTGCACCCCCCGAAGCTGCACCCCCCGAAGCTCCACCCCCCGAAGCTCCACCCCCCGAAGCTCCACCCCCCAAAGCTCCACCCCCCAAAGCTCCACCCCCCAAAGCTGCAGTCCCCAAAACTTGGTTCCGTGAAGCACCACCCGCCAACGCCACACCTGCCAAAGCTCTACCCTGGAGGGATCTTCCTCCCGTGAGAGCATCTGGCCATTCGGTGCTGTCACTCCCCATCATGGCACTCCTGCCCCACATCAAGTTGCTCCGCATTCCACCGCTCCCCACACCACCACTTCCCGCAGCACCACTTTTCACAGCACTGCTTCCCACAGCACCGCTTCCCAAAGCATTGTTTACCGCATCAGCTAGAGTGTTGTTTGTCTCAGTGCCACTCCAACCTATCACAGAAGACCTAGCAGAAGGACCAGCCATGCCAGCACCAACACTCATACAATCCCCACCACCCACACAGCCACACCATCCCCACCACCCACACCATCCCCACCACCCACACCACCCATACCATCCCCACCAGTCATACCATCCCCACCACCCATACCATCCCCACCAGTCATACCATCCCCACCACCCATACCACCGAGCATTGTCAGAAGTCTTGCCTAGCAGTGTTAGTATTTATGGAGCACACTAACCCACACTAACCCTGTACATTATAACGATTTTTAGTAAACTGGTGGCATATTGTTGTTGCTATTAAACACGTACCTCTTGTATATGAGAATTCACATGTATAGCTGATGACCAAGCTGCATTGTTTGGTCCGAGGCATGAGATTTCGTCTCCACCGGCTGTTTGAGCTGTTGCCCATTGTTTCAGCTGTTTTCCAGGTGGTTTTCCAGGTGGTTCTTCAGGTGGTTCTTCAGGTGGTTCTTCAGGTATCACAGTTGAGATCTACGCCCCAAAGCAGCACCGACGAAGGGCGAGACTCGCTAAAATCTGACAGCCCGTAGTCTTGGAGTGAAAGCCCTTCCTTTGTTGTGTCACGCACTCCCGCTTCCGCTTTTCTCCCCCCTGCTACTGCTGCTGAATCTGCTGCTGCACTTGCAGGTGCCTCTGTGGCTGGACCTGCCACTCCTGCTGCAGCTCCTGTGTACTTCCAGTCTTCTCCTTTTTCTCCTACTGCTCCTGCTGCTTCTGCTGCCCTTGCGACTCCTGCAGGTGCTGCTGCTGGTAACCCTGCAATTTGGCTGCTGGCGCCAGCAACTGAAGCCTCAGACATAAGCAGCCCTACAGGACGAACCCCCCATTGGTTCTCCTCAGTCGAACACGAAGGTTGATGCTGGTAACTCTTTGCCCTCTCAGGTGAACAGGACGGCTGGTGCAGGTGGTGAGTGTTTGCATTCTCAGGGGAAAGCGATGGCTGGCTCTCCCAGCGGCGACTCGTCGCATGCCCAGGGTCAAGGGACAGCAGTGGCACTGGGTGGCAGTGACCTCCCCTCGCATGCCCAAGGGCTGACTGCTGGTGCTGGAGGAATCTATTAGTGTCTTGCAGGCTATCCCGTAAAGCTTCTCGCTCCTGCTTCTCTGCAGCACCGGCCTCACGAGAACTGCAAGGAATCTCCGCGGCACGAAGCCCAAAGGGAACCTCAACCAGCCCGTCCTGCTTCTGGCGCACCTCGAAAACAGGCTCCTGCTTCCCTGCCCCAGCACGGGCACTGGGAATAGGCTCTGCAACACGAAGCCCCAAGGGAAGCGCACCTAGCTCGTCCTGTTGTTGAGGTACCTCGAAAACAGGCTCCTGTTGTTGAGGTACCTCGAAAACAGGCTCCTGTTGTTGAGGTACCTCGAAAACAGGCTCCTGTTGTTGAGGTACCTCGAAAACAGGCTCCTGTTGTTGAGGTGCCTCACGAAGAAGCTGCTGCTTCTCTGCACCAGCACGGGCACTGGGAATAGGCTCTGCAGCACGAAGCCCCAAGCGGGCCTCACCCAGCCAGTCCTCCACCATACCTGCAGCGTCTCTGGGGCGTTTCCTTGGAGAAGGTATCTGCTGCCATGCACGAGCGGTGCTGCGTGCACCAACAGCAGCGCCAGCCTGCAATCCTGTCTGCACAGCGCCAGCCTGCAATCCTGTCTGCACAGCGCCAGCCTGCAATCCTGTCTGCACAGCGCCAGCCTGCAATCCTGTCTGCACAGCGCCAGCCTGCAATCCTGTCTGCACAGCGCCAGCCTGCAATCCTGTCTGCACAGCGCCAGCCTGCAATCCTGTCTGCACAGCGCCAGCCTGCAATCCTGTCTGCACAGCGCCAGCCTGCAATCCTGTCTGCACAGCGCCAGCCTGCAATCCTGTCTGCACAGCGCCAGCCTGCAATCCTGTCTGCACAGCGCCAGCCTGCAATCCTGTCTGCACAGCGCCAGCCTGCAATCCTGTCTGCACAGCGCCAGCCTGCAATCCTGTCTGCACCGCGCCAGCCGGCAGAGCACTGGATTGCACAGCTTCAGCACGCAAGTCTTTCCCCCCCATAGCCCCTGCTCCCACCAATCCACTCCGCAACGCTCCACTCTTCAAAACTCCACCCCCCCAAGCTCCACACGAGAGTGCCCTACCCCCCATGGCTGCATCTCCCCATTCGGTGCTGTCACTCCCCTTATTGGCACTCCTGTCCCACATCAAGTTGCTCCTTATTCCACCGCTCCCCACTCCATCTCGTCGCACTCCATCACTTCCCACACCACCACTTCCCACACCACCGCTTCCCACAGCTCCGGTTGCCGCATTAGCTAGAGTGTTGTTCATCTCAGTGCCACTCCAACATATCACAGGAAACCTAGCGGAACGACCAGCCATGCCAGCACCAACACTCATACAAACCCCACCACCCATACCATCCCCTCCATCCATACCATCCCCACCATCCATACCATCCCCACCACCCAACCCATCCCCACCACCCATGCCATCCCCACCACCCATACCATGCATGCCAACACCACTCGTCGCAGCCACACAAGGCACGTCAGCACGGCCATCATTACACTCTCCTCCCCCCACACTCGCACGTCTCCTCAAGGCAAACCCCTGTGAATCATCATTGCCCATCTCTGTGGAATCACCCAGAGGTTGACCCATACGAGAACGCAAAAGGGGGTGCTTTACATGCTGCTGCTGCTGCTGCTGCTGCTGCTCATGAGATGCAACATTAGAACCACCAGCCATGCCAGCACCAACACCCATACCACCCATACCACCCATAACATCCCCACCACCCATACCAACCATAACATCCCCACCACCCACACCACCCATACCACCCATACCACCCATACCACCCATACCATTCCCACCACCAACATCACTCGTGCCAGCCACACCAGCACGGCCATCATCACACAGTCCTCCCCCCACACTCGCACTTCTCCTCATAAAACCTCTTCGTAATTCATTGAATAACTGTTGCTGCTGCTGGTGCCTTTGCTGCTGCAGAAGCTGCTGAAGCTGCTGCTGCTGCTGCTGCTGCTGCTGCTGCTGCTGCTGCTACTGCTGCTGCTGCTGCTGCTGCTGCTGCTGCTGCTGCTGCTGCTGCTGCTGCTGCTGCTGCTGCTGCTGCTGCTGCTGCTGCTGCTGCTGCTGCTGCTGCTGCTGCTGCTGCTGCTGCTGTTCATGACATGCCCCACGGCCCTGGGAGATCTCCTGGGATTTCACCTGCGCCAGAAGCGCGAGCAGAACCGCCTGTGGAATCTCCTGGCCCCGAGGCTGTAAGGCTGGCATGTCACTCCGCTCCAAAAGATGAGCCGGCTCGGAAGGCAACTGTGTTTGAACGAGCTGTTCCGAACCTGCATTACTGGAAGGATTGGAAGAAACGGACGGCTGAGATGCGAGTAGATCCAGTAGAGATTTCAGGAGGTCGGAGCGAAGGGGCATGTGGGGGGAATGGGTGGACGACGGAGAAGATATGGAAGGGGCTTGGCGCGCAGTAGCAGCAGCTGCTAATAGCTGATGGTATTGTTGAGTGGTAGCACCTGCTAATAACTGCTGTGACTGTTGAGTAGTGGCAGCTGTGATATGGGACGACTTTTGAGTCGACGCAACAGTCACCCCAGCGGCAGCAGCTGCTAATAGCTGTTCGTATTGTTGAATAGCAGCAGTAGCGTTTTGATACATCTCAGAACCTGCTACTGGCTGTTGGAGGCGCTGGGCGGCAGCAGTTGTCCATTGTGACGCCAAGGAGAGGAGACGGGCGGCAAGGATGGTGGAGGGTGCGACTGATGCAAGCCGTGCGATGAGTGATTCAGCATTTGGCATTGATAGTGGGAGTGTGGTGCGCGCGTTTGGTGCAAGCTGGGCGATGAGTGAGTCTGATAGTGGGAGTGTGGAAAGAGCGTTTTGAGAAATGCCAGCATTGACCGATGACACAGGTGCTTGTGTGGTGAGATTCCAAGGAGAAACGTAAGCAGAGCTGGTTGGGTCTTGTTGCCTGTCACCTGCAATTGCAGGGCTGGGAGCAGGAACGAGTGCTGGATCTCGCTTTACAGTCACATCCACTGCTGCTCCCGAGTGTTCTTGTGCTGAGAGTTGTCCGCACTGGAAAGCTTCCTCACTGCCTCTGGGTCCACAGGGTTCCGTGCTGACTACTGCCTGCCTCTCGCCTTCGCCTTCCAACCCTCCCCACCCTCTCCCAAACCTCTCCCCTCTCCTGCCTCTGGGTTCAGTGCTGACGACTGCTTGCCTCACCCCTCCCAACCCTTTCCACCCTGCCCCGAACCTCTCCCCTCCCACCGCTCCCCACCCTGTTCCAACCCTACCAACTCCTGCTTCTCCCACGTTCCCCGCCCCTCCCACTGCTCGTTCCTCAGCAGCTGTTATGTTTCCAAATTTGGTCTGCTGGCCTACCCTTCTAGCAGCAGCCGCCGCAGCAGCTGCAGCAGCCGCTACTAAAAGTGCTCCCTCTCCCTCTCCCCCTCCCCCTCCTCCTCCACCACCACCACCATCACCACCTCCTCTTCCTCCTCCTCTTCCTCCTCCTCTTCCTCCTCCTCCTCCTCCTCCTCCTCCTCCTCCTCCTCCTCCTCCTCCTCCTCCTCCTCCTCTGTCCGCTTTCCCTGCTGCCACTGCCTCCATTGCACCTGTTGAAAGCACCTGATTAAGTGCCAGGGCATCCTCTTTTCTCAGCTTCTTACTACACAGGCCCTCACCAGCAGCCGCCACTGCTGCTGCTGAAGGCACCTGATCAGGCGCCAAGGCACGCTCTCCTCTCTGCTTCTTACTGCACCGCCCCTCATCAGCAGCTGGGGCAAACAAAGCAGCTTCAGCACCACCACCAGCGGTTCGCGTTCCCAACAGAGCAGTGTCAGTAGTGCCAATTGCGGCAGCAGTGACTGAAAGCGGAGCAGAGTGGATCGTACAATCCCTGCCTGAACGTGCAGCAGCGAGGGTCGTTTTACCAGTGCCGGAACGGGCAGCAGCACCAACAACACGAGCAGTAGCCGCAGGGGCAGAAGGAGCAGTAATATCAGCGGCAGCGTCAGCGGCATTGGCGGCATTAGCTGCCAGCACAGCAGACTCCGTGGCATGGGAGCATCGCCACTTGTCGCGCCGGTGTTGGTCGAGAGCCGCGGCAGTTGGGAAGCTTTGCTTACATAACGTGCAGTAGTGAGGGCCCTGGCCGTCTGAACGCAACCACTTAGCTAAAAGCCGGCTCATTTGAGGGGTCAGGGATGGGGACTGGGAGGAGGAGGGGGCGGAAGAGGAGGGGGGGAAGGGAGGTGGGGGAAGAGGAGGGACAGAGGGGAGAGGGGCGGATGTGGAGGAAAAAGGGGCGGAGGAGGAGGGGGAGAGGACGAGAGGGGCGGAGGGGGAGGGGGAAAGGGGGAGAGTGGCGGTGGTTGCAGCAGTGGTGGTAGCTGTAGTTGCAGCAGCGGAGGCAGCATTTCTAGCTACAGTTCCGCCGGCAGCTGGTGTGCCAATCTTTTTCTTTGCTGAGATTGCAGGAGTTCCAACCGCAGCGCGAGACAAGCTGCCTGCCGATCTTCTTGAGCCCGAGAAATCAGGTGCTGCCACGTGTCGTGCACGCTTCTGTGGGGACATCATTGCCGTGTCATCACCACCAGTGAGACTCTTAGTGCTGTGGACAGCGGCGCCCCTCGACTTTGGATTAACCTCCGTAGGCTTGGCCTGAGCCGGCTCACGCCCCCGAACCTGAGCGGAATCACACCCCCGAGCCTGAGCCAACTCAAGACCCCGAACCTGAGTCGATTCAAGCCCCCGAGCCTGAGCCAACTCAAGACCCCGAACCTGAGCCGATTCAAGCCCCCGAGCCTGAGCCAACGCAAACCCCGGAACGTGTGTGAACTTAGGACCCTTACCCTGGGTCATTTGAAATTCCCCAGCCTGCACTGAATTCTGAGAGCCTGCAAAGGCACGAGGGTAAGCAGACCGCAAGGCATCATGTATCGGGGACCTCCCTGCTTCCTTCACCACCGTTGTGATCCTCGAAATTCCTGCAGCAGCTGCAGCAGCAGCACTCGCAGCACCTGCAGGCACGGCAGGCTCAGGCAGGCCCATCAACAACCGTCTTGCAGTATCCACAGCGTCTTGAAGAGCAACACCCGTAGGATGTTGCTCTCCTCTGTCTCTGGCAGCAGCCTGCGGCGGCGCAGCAACCCATCGGGAGCAAGCTTTACTTGGTAGGATCCCCGAAGCTGACGCTGACACAACAGAAACAGCAGTATCCCTAACGCCACTGCCGCTGGTCGCAAGAGGGCCAGCAGCCGCGGCAGCATCGGCTGGGACGGCGCATGGTGATTTCAGACCGCTAGAAGCTTGGGGTTCTGCTGATGTTGCTCCGGTGGTATTCCACCAAGAATTCCCGCCGAGGCCCGTGCTTGGCGCTGGGGTGCTATGAGCTGGGGTGCTTGGCGTTGGGGTGCTTGGCGTGGGGGTGCTTTGGAAAGCAGCACGGTTTGCGTTGAATGATGTGGGTGACTGGGGTGAGGGAATAGCCATGGCTCCGTGGAGTTCCCAGAGACAAACAGAAGCAGCAGGAGCAGCTGTGGCAGTCGCCGCCGCATCAGGAGAAGCAGCAGGATGTGCAGCAGCAGATTCTTTCATTCCGGCACTGGCGGCAGCAGTGGTAGTAAGGTTCCGAGCAGCAGCACATGCAACCATGGAAGCTTCCGCACGTGACATCCACTCTCCAAGGCGCAAAGCCTCCTCGAACGGACCACAAGAGAGCACCATGGGGTCATTTTTGCGGGCTTTTGCCCGTAATCCTGCTGCTGCTGCTGCTGCTGCTGCTGCTGCTGCTACGCCTGGCGCTGCCGCTCCTGCCGCTGCCGCTCCGTGATCCTGACCCTCAGGTCCGTTTCCCCCTTCGTCTTGACCGCCGATTTCAAGATTCAGGTCTAGAAAGGGTCTATCTTGCCTCATGAACGGCCCTGATTGCCCGTTACCTTCCTCCAGCTCCTCCTCCCCCTCCTCCCCCTTCCCCTCCCCCCTCCCCTCCCTTCACCTTCCCAGACGAGCCGAACAAGGAGTAGAGGAGCCTTGAACCATCTCGTGACATGGCGTGCTTTACCGTGCGGTAGGTCTCTATATTCGCATCATCGAACGTTCCCATAAAGTGGCGATCCCGCGTCAGCCGCACATATTTAGGACACTTTTAGTAAATGCTCTTCATTTGGGAAAAAAAAAAAAAAAAGAGGAAGCAGAAAGAACGAAAGAAGGGAAAAACGCCGCCTCATATGTGAGAGCTTTACTCCTGTACGATAAGAAATAAAAGCTACTCTTTCTTGCTCATCAGATCCCTTGTCTGCAGTTATGGAGCCTTTACTATCAGACAACTCTCGTTTACGCATAGTAGTTGAGGCGTTTCATCGTGAAACAAATATGAGGTGCGATCTGTTAAGAGAGTCACCACAGTTGAAGCATGCAGAGAAACACAAGAGATAAAAGGAGAGAAAATAAGCTGTGTGGTCCCAGAAGCTGCACAATATTACGACGAAACAGCTGTCACAGCAAAAGTGACGCCTTGCCGACTTCGTTTCGGAAAAGAATGATAGTTCTTATGCTGTCAAAAGCTGCAGCTTATACTATGTCAACAGCTCCTTGGAAAGAACAATATCTACTGCCAATGGAGCTAGCCAAATGCACCGCTGACAGCAGACTATGGTCACGGTTCTGGGCGAAGCTTGGACACCATCAACCAAAATTTTCCCTCAGTGACGTGTAAACACACCCGATCATTGGTCATTACACAAGTTGCGAGAAATCTTGGAGCATGGCAGCCAATCACAGCAGCCAATGCACCGCTGAGCAAAAAATCCACAGCCAGTGACGCGGGGATCCAGCTAAAAATCCTTACGAAACAATACAGGTGTAAGTTAGAATAATGTTACAGCTCTCAGTGCGGCGGACAGTGTCACACAATTTTTGTCACGCTACTGTAGCTCCGGTGAGCTTGCTGCCAGCTCAGGTTCATTTGAGTCAACCCACAAAATAGAGAGGGCGTCTGCAGCAGCAGCACAACCGCCCACCGTGTCAGACTGGGGATCAAAATCGTGTTTTGCAAAACGCCCAAGATAATGGACAGCAACTGCTGGCACGCCATAAAGAAGTGGCGTGGGGTACCTCTGGGATTGCAGCCCGTACAGCACCGCACCAATGGGCTTGCGCCTCACTCGGAGCTTGTTGCTGGCTTGGATCACCTGTGGTGATCCTTCTCGGTTTGTGATTTGGCATGTGTACGACGGCGAAGCAAGTCTCCACCGCCAGGAGGAGGAACGGTTGGATCGATCGGACAGCGAGGATAAGAAGGTGTCTCATGTGACTGGTCCACCCCGAACCGGTCCGTTGCCAAAATGTGCACGCCTGGTCGGGAATTCTGGTCCGACGGACCAACTTCGCGGACCAGGCGTGGACCAGACACGGACTGGTCCACATGATACGTCGCGTCATTGGCTGTGAGGATTTTGCGAAAAGCATTCCAAAATCGAACCACGTGGACGGTTCTAGAGCTGGTCCGTCGGGTCCGCGTCGGAACCACGTGGACTCGCTCATTTGAGACACGTCCTAAAATGTTTGAGGAAGTGGAGCTCGCATTGGCTGGGGTGATGTAATCTGCCCTAGAAGGGATAGGGTCAGTTGGGAGAGTTCGAATTCGAATCGAACAAGAAACGCGTCAAGGTGATGCATGCCACATGCCCAATTCCCAACAAGGTTCGCCCCCCACTACGTGGCGGTACAGTTTCTCGAACTTTTCTGAAATCTCAATAAAGATTCCTTTGTCGTGAGTAAGGACGTGGGCCCAATCGACTTTGATCGGCTCGATCAAAGGCAAAAATATGACTTCCAGGAAGGCGGGAATCCAATTTCAGGCAATCAGGGGCAATCAGCTGATCGCGATCAGCTGATCGCTCCAACTCGATCAGCCGCCTCAAACAACCCGATCAATCACGATCAGTCACTTGATTGCATGTGATCGGGGGCCTGGACGATGTTCGCGAAACATTACACAGTCGACTAGAGGTGTCGAAAATCTTTCGCTCATACCTACGGACTGGCGAGAAAATTATGCGAAGTTTTTAGACCGACATTGTCTGCATTGCGATGTTAACGACGCTACCACATTGCGTTCGCCAGTCTCGCCAAAGTTGGAAAGAAAATACCAGGTAAATGTGTTACACTTGTCATGCAAGCTCATCGAGTTTCCGAGGAAAATCAGCTCTGATCGAGCGGCGCGGGAAAAGCGATCACAAGCAATTCTAACCAATCCGACCCGAATCAATCCGATCCGATTATAAGAACTGATTATTGTAAACATTCTTCTAGTGTGCGGTCTAGGTGTCAAGCGCACATCACATTGCCAGCTCAGGTTGTGATGAGAATCAGCCCTACAAGACCAGAGGGGGTGTCTGCTGCAGCAACAGCTCTTGGGATAGAAATCGGATTTCAAAGCCTTCACGGTGGGCACTGGAGCTGGAAGTGGGCTGCATCTGCGACATGCCGTAAAAAGACAAGGTGAAGCACGGTACCACGTGGTTCCATGCGTTTCCTATGACTTCGTTGGTGCAGCACACACCTGCAGTACCTTTTTGGTTTCCCAGGATTCCACGGCGGCGGGTGAATGAAGGAATCGACGACGGTGAAGTGGGTCACAGGCTGAACACGGAAACGAAATACAATTGATGCCCGTTTGAGCCCCTCCCGGTTGCCTTGTGAAGGGGGTCTGTAAGCTACACTAACATTTCGTGGGGTGTTCGTATGTTTCATTACACCTTATATGTGCATCAAACCAGAAATTGGTAACCACCCATTTTGTCTGTTTCGTAACAGTAACAGTTGGCACTCCTTGTCATTAGTGTGTGTTTCTGGTTACCTTACTATTGCAAGAACAATCTACCCTTCATCCTCATCAAATGTTCAACTTAGTCAAAAACATACAATCCACTCGAACCACCAATGGGACGCACCCACTTGGCCCCCCATGTCAAATGTGAGCATCGATCGAATCACTCACAAATGTTAACAAGGAGTGAACACTCGAGCACATCAAAGAGCCTTCGGCTCCTTCACGGGGGGGGGGGGGGGGGGGGGGGGGTAAATTTCACTCACAGACGCATCCACTCCGCCGCGTCTGTGTACCCGCCCATCACGGCGCCAACACCGGCGTCCAGCAGCTGCTGACGGCGGGAAGGCTGGGTCATACAGCCAGGCAGCACTCGGCCGCGCGGACGCGGGGTGTCGGGCGTGGGTGTTGCGCCTGGCGTGCGCGCGGCCGGCGGGGTCACGTTCAGATTAATGGGCGGGCTCGCCCGCTCCATGCGCGCGATGATGACCGGGTTGCGGATGTCGAAAAGGTGGCACAGGTCGCGCGGCTGGATGCTGATGGCGCGCGCATAGCCAATGAGCATCTCGCACGCCGCCCGAGCCGTGCGCCGCGCTTCACGGCCCACGGGGTCGGCATCCTCATACACGACCTGCATGGTGGTGGGCGCCTCCCACATTTCCACCACCATGCCCGCACCCGGCTCATTCGGCGTCAGATCCGCCGCGTGCTCGGCGCACGTCGGCTCACCGTCGTCGATGGCGACGTACTCAGCCGCGGACATCGCGCCATGCCCGAGACGAAGCCCAGAGATGAGAGTCCCGGCGTCGCTTATCTCATCATCAAGCTCGATGTCGGGATAGGCGGACGGGGTGGGCTCGTCGTCATGCACGTGCGGCAGCTCCATGGCCCACGAACGCGGGAGGCACCCCGTGCGCCACCAGCACCGCTGGATGGTGCGCGGACCGACGCCGGTCCACGCGTCCGAGAGCCACGCCAGCACGTCGCGCAGGTTCGGGCGAAACCGCGCGGCTGCGCTTGTGGCCCCGTCCGCGTTCCACAGAGCCGTGAAGGCCCGCAACCAGTGCTGGCGGTAGCGCGCCTTGGCGGTTGCAATAATCCCCTGGCCAAGGGGCTGGGTGAAGGCCGTCGTGTTAGGCGGCAGGAAGACCAGGCGTACGTTGCTCATGCAGGTCGTGCGCATGCCGCACACGATTTCGCTCCACGCAAACTCGCTCCTGAGCATGTGCTGCGGAGATAACTCGTGCAACGGGAGCTAGACTGCGGGCTAGGCACGGGGCAAGAGTGATCTTAGTGTTCGTTCGTTCCTTAGTCGTTTCCGAGTGCTAACACTGCTTGCTAGTTCACGGGGAAAATTGGCAAGAGTTTCACTAGGAAAACATCACAACAAAAGTTCAGAATGATTGCATCAACATTGGCAACACTGACTACATCAGACCTAGCAAGGCTGCTGGTCCACTGCCAGCGCAGCACGGTCGACCGCGTGCCAGCACGACTTGGTCGACCGCGCTCCAGCAGAGCAGAGTCGCGGCTCGCCAGCGTTGCAGGCCCGCGGTGTGCCAACGCTGCAGTAGGTCGGCTGCACAGCGTTGCATCCGCGGGACAACGGTGCACCAGCTTCGCAGGTGTGTGCAGCTGGTTGGCGCCCAACTCCCCGTCACATGCCCAGCGCAGACACTCCGCCCGTGACGGCGCCCACCAGCCACGTCGACCTCGGGATACCACCCCCGAGATCGTCTTCGTAGACAACATCCCCGGCGACTTTCGCGCACGTCGCCCGGGTATCCTGGTTGTCCGGGTATTTCGCGGTCCTCCCGCGGTTTCTCGGCCACCGCGGTCCTCCCGCGGTTTCGTGGCTCCACGGTCCCCCGTGATTTCGTGGCTCCCACGGACCACCACGATTTCGTGGCTCCCACGGACCACCACGATTTCGTGGCTCCCACGGACCACCACGATTTCGTGGCTCCCACGGACCACCACGATTTCGTGGCTCCCACGGACCACCACGATTTCGTGGCTCCCACGGACGGCTCCGCCCAAGCGAGGACGGGGCCAAACACAACTCCCGTTGACATGTGCGAGCTTGCGTTGTCGAGCAGAATGACGATGTGGCGGCCCTCAGCATACATGGCCGCATTGAGCTGTGAAATGAAGTGTGTGAACAGCTGTGGGAGGGAAGGGGAGGGATCGGGATGGCCGCATGTGTGGAAATGCACATATGCGTATAGTTAAGTCACAGGGCGCGCGAATAGTTTTCATTGCGTCATGTTAAACAACAAGTGATTGACCACCGACACGAACAGAAAGTGCCACACAAACTCGCCTGCGCCGTCATCCATCCTTTGGCGTTGTTACGCCAGTAGCAAAGCGTTTCAGGGTCGTAGTCCGGGCGAAAATCATGCGGGCGCCTCGCCTTAGAGATGACCAAGGGGCGGAACGCATGGCTCCCGTCGGCATTGACGAGAAACGCAACGGTAAGGCGTTCCTTCGACACCTTCCGCCCTGGAATACGGCCGTTGCTGTAAGTACGCCGCGGGAGCACAGACAGCCACATCGCGGTTTCGTCGAGGTTGTATGTGTCGCGCGGACGGGCTGAGAGATGCATGAGAAGCCGCGGGAGCCTCTCCTGGCAGTCGCGCACTGCGGCATGGTCCGCGCTGGCCGCCTCGCCGACCGATGCACGGCACCTCACCCCCTGGCGCCGCAACGCACGCCGCACCCATCCGATGGAGCATCGAAACGTGGGCGGAATGCCCATGTTACGAGCCATGGTCGCGACGTGGTCGCGGATGGTTTGCAGCGTCAACGGGACGCCGGCGGGCCCCGCGTTAGAGATCCACCTTGCCATGGCCTGCTCCAGCTCAGGCCATGCGCCTCCCCGCCGGCGGATTGGGTTGTCGCCCGTCTCGACCACAGCCCAGCGGTCGGCGCTTTTCAGGATGCGGCCGATGGTAGAGCGGTCCGGGCGAAGGCGATACTGGGAGTAGCACCACCTCGCCAGGTCAACGTGACGCAGTCGCGGGTTCTCCACATGGTGAAGGCATATCGCGCGCTTAATGTGCACAGGGAGCTGCTCACGGCGGTGGAACTGAGGCATTGTGAATGGCGGGGATGTGAGTTAACGATGCAGAAGTGGATTCAATGTCGTTGTTGTAAAGTTGGGTGTCTTGCCCATTGATGCTCGCTAGGGGCCTGTTCGGCGTGGATAGTAGTGAGCTCGTGTATTTGGTTTGAGGGAGGGGGTAATGTGTTTTGTAACCACACATTATGATGCCTGACGTGGGGTGGGCGAACAATGCTTGGTTGATAATGCTCTTGTACCCTACAAGTGCAGGATACACGTGGCAGGGTGAACCTGCCAGACTGACTGTTACACGCACCCTGAACCTCGCTTACTTGGCAGGGCAGTCGAGCGAATGCATTCACGAAGCCTGCGGGGTTTCGTTCTCACATTTCGGGAGTGTGACTTCTAGCCTAGAAACAGAGAAAACCAGGGTCGGCCTGGCTTGTTACGGACTGCAAGTGCAGAATCGGTCGAAGCGCGTCCACTGTGGCCTGCCATCCATGTGTCTGTACCGTGGGTGCATTTGCCCGGGGTGGAAACATCGGGTGCAGCGTTTCCATCCGGTGCATGGCAAATTCGCGTGCACTGGTTGGGCATCATGTGTATTAATCGGACGGCGAAGGCGAAGTGCTTCATAATGCCTCGCTGCCATTGGCTGCAGCGGTGATGCATCCTTCGAGGGATGGATTTCTGCGATAGGGCGAAGGTCACACCGGCGCATTTAGGGCGTGTTAAATCGCAAACTCCAAAAATTCGGCCACAATCCGTCGGGCCGTATTTGCGAAGGTAACCAGTTTGCGACAATCGTAAGTTAAGTGGTGACCGTCGCAAATTTCGTTAAAATTTTACGAATTTGATGGCCGTTTAAAAAGTCGACACGAAAACGACGCCGATTCGACTCGCCAAATATTCGACACAGTGTGCGACAAACGCCTGCGACGTCGCACGGCATCGCCCAACGACAGAATTTGTGATCGCGTCAAATGAGAAATATCGCCGTCAAAAGTTCGACCTCGTCGCACATACTAAACTACTGTAGTAACTGCAAATTTAACAACTTTTCCGAACCAGACTGCAATCCGGCCACCAAAGTTGTTAAATTGCCAAAACTGTAAAATTTGGCTGTTAAAGAGTCGACTCTGATTCGGCCACCTCGTCGTTGTTCGCGAAAAATATGACGACCATTTGGTCGTCGAAAATTCGGCCACACCCTATTTTCGGAATTGTGTGGCGATTTAACACGCCCTTACTGTATCGTTGTCATAGCTGACATGACACGACGTGACACTACAGTTCTGGTCTGGTGCATCTACTGTAATGAGGGGGAAGCAGCTTGGCGAGATGTGGTGGTGAGATGTGTCCTTGGCGAGCAGAGCTGTCGTTTCGTTTTGGGCCCCCCGGACAAATCAGGGGGCCCGGCATGTACGACCCTGTATTTAGCAGGGTCGGGGCGAATTTGGCCCTTTAGGCTTCAGGGCTGAAATTGATTCCTCCCTGTAAATCAGGTTTGGCGCGGAAAATTCTGCAGCCTCATTTCTACCACAAAGCTGACAGCTGCAGTCCGCAAGTATTAATAAGCTAGTTAGCAATAGAAAAACTAGTTAGCGTCATTCACTACGCACGCGTAACAGACTTCCCCTCTTCCAACTCTTAGCAAAGATCTGAGATGTGTTTTGCTGCTGCTATACCTATTCATGCCTGCTGGTGCACTGCATGACGGGGATTTGAGATGTGTTTTGCTGCTGCATGTTGGTTCACGCTACTGTCTGTGTGTCATGGGATGGGAGCGAGGTTGTGATTGGTACAAGTACCAGTTGTATGTTGAGTTGAATATGTGGCCCAGCCACGCAACTCCAAGTTTGACAGGTTTGAATGCAATCAAAATAGAAACGGGGAGGGGGAATGGAGGAGTTTGGGGGGGAGGGGGGGGAAGGAGTGGGAGGGAAGTTCGAAAAGGTTTTGTTCCAGGGCTCGCCAAAAATCTACCCTTAACACTCCAGACCTAAGCCCGAAATCAGCCCTGTAAGGAATCGGGGCCACAATTTTTCAACCCATCAATTTCAGTTTTCAAAGGCAACCCAGCCCTGGAATTCAAGGTCCAGCAGGGCAAACGCCCTGCAAGTGACAGGCCTGTTGGCGAGGAAGGTCACAATGGTTGCAATCATAACCGCATTGTAATTTGAGGCACCGTTATAACCATATCTGTGGAGCTGACTGCATACATTTGCAATCTCTTCATTCAATGACAACGTCTCAACCAAGCAAGAGGGGACTCTTCATAAACTCTGGTCTGTTGTGACAGGTATTTAAAAAGGGTCACTCTTTTGAGTAATCTGTAGAGCAATACTGGTGTCCTTCCATTTGTCTAGCCTTTTCCCTATTTTTTCCCTACGTTATGTCCTCATACCCGAGAAGGATCTCTCACACCATACTCCACATCCACTTGATGTAGGTATTAAATTGAGAAAGTTTGCTTTCTTATTCTTATCAATTGGCATCGTTCTCATTACATATGGCTTATTACAACATTTGCATCAACGTTGAACACAAGCTAGTGCAATCGAATAAGACTAGCTAAGATGTACCCTATTCAAGTGGCATTAGCAAGGCGGTTTACTCTGGGGTGGGTGGTGGGAATGTTGAGTGAGCCGTTTGAAAATCGAGAAACATGGGTGGAGGGAAATGAACTCCAACCCACGGTTTTTGTCGTTGGAGAAGGGCGTTTAGCGCGCTTCGACGATGCCAATTGTGCAGTACAAGCAGCTTCGCTTTCACAATACACAATTTAAAAAAACACAATGCGTGTTTAAAAAATATAAATTTCCTTGTTAATCCATTGTACACCAATTATTTGGCTGCACATGATGCCTTATCCAAGGAATGATTTTAATCAAATGCCTGGTAACATACCTTCTCGCTCAAAGCTCTGATCTGTGGAAAAACTGCTTCACCTCATCTTAGATTAGTTAGAAGTTTTGCACCTTTAAAGCCAGGGTCTCACGTACTACAAGTGCTTTGCAATTGTTGGTGAAAGTGTGGCTTTGATTGGTTGGCGAGGTGTAAGGTTCGAAGTGGGGTGAAGCGAGGGGTGCGAAGCGAAAGTA